GGTGTTAAAAAAATTAAAAACTGCTTTTATTCTAGCCAGAATAAAACAAATAAGACTTTCTCCAGAAGAAAAAATATTATAGAAAACACTGTGAAAATTTCCGGAATCTGTTCAGCATCATTTAAAAAAAGAAAAATAATTCAAAGGAGGGCGAATAATTCTGACTTTTTCTGAAATTTTTGAGCATGAAGAAGACAAAGCATCTTCTTTCTAATGACATCTAATTTGTGTTTGTAGCTTACTGGGCTCAAGAAATCAGTCTGCCTAAAGAATGCTCCATATTCACAGCTGAAGCCCGCGCTTTACGTTTAGCATTGGAGTATATAGAAAATGCACAACAAAAGAAATCCATCATTTTTACAGACTCTAAATCATGCCTGCAAGTTATGGAATCTTCAACGTAATGATCATCCTATGTTGATAATATTATATCTATAGTTCTCTATCTACATAATCAGATATATATATATATATATATATATATATATATATATATATATATATATATATATATATATATATATATATATATATATATATATATATATATATATACATACATACATATATATATATATATATATATATATATATATATATATATATATATATATATATATATATACATACACACACACACACACATTGGTGTATACCCTGTATTTTTATTGTGAAGAGATATTTATAATGTATTTATTCTTAATAGAGAACAAGACAACTGAAGGCAAAAAATATTAGCTCTCCTATGAAAATTGTATACTTTATATCTATTAAATGATGCTTAATAAAGCAAGAACATTTTTCAAAGTATTCCCAATTATTTTTGGAGAAAGTCGTATTTCTGAAACAATTTTTTAATCATAAAAGATAAAGCATTTGTTAAGACTAATATTATTAAATGATTTTTCAGAAAAAAAGCTGATTTTTCTAAAAGTTATAAAGTCTAAGAGTTATAAAGTCAAAAATCTGAGTTATAAGGTAGCAATTCTGAGTTATAAAGTCGCAATTCTGTTATAAGGTTGCAATTACGAATTATTAAGTCAGAATTCCGAGTTATAAAGTCAGAATTCCGAGATATAAAGTCAGAATTTTGAGTGATAGGGTTGCAATTCCGAATGATTAAGTCCAAATTCCGAGATATAAAGTCAGAATTTCGAGTTATAAAGTCATAATTCCGAGATATAAAGTCACAATTCTGAGTTATAGTCATAATTCCGAGATATAAAGTCATAATTCCGAGTTATAAAGTCAGAATTCTGAGTTATGAAGTCGCAATTCTAAGTTATAAAGTCATAATTCCGAATTATTAAGTCAGAATTTTGAGTTATAAAGTCACAATTCCGAGTTATAAAGTCACAATTCTGAGTTATAAGGTAGCAATTTTGAGTTATTAAGTCAGAATTCCGAATTATATTCTGAGTTAAGCCAAAATTCCGAGTTATAAAGTCACAATTCTGTTATAAGGTTGCAATTCCGAATTATTAAGTCAGAATTTCGAGTTATAAAGTCAAAATTCCGAGTTATAAAATCACAATTCTGAGTTATATGGTTGCAATTCCGAATTATTAAATCAGAATTCCGAGATATAAAGTCATAATTCTGAGTTATAAAGTAAGAATTCCGAGATATAAAGTCATAATTCTGAGTTATAAAGTAAGAATTCCGAGATATAAAGTCATAATTCCGAGATATAAAGTCAGAATTCTGAGATATACAGTAGCTATTTCGAATTATTAGGTCAGAATTCCGAGTTATAGTCACAATTCCAAGTTATAAAGTCACAATTCCGAGTTAAAAGTCAGAATTCCGAGTTGTAAAGTCAGAATTCTGAGTTATAAGGTCGCAATTCCGAATTATTAAGTCATAATTCTGAGTTATAAAGTCACAATTCTGAATTATTAAATCATAATTGTGAGTTATAAAGTCAGAATTGCGAGTTATAAAGTAAATACAGTGAATAAATACAATTCTGTGGCTCCTGGTCAACTATAATTCAGACTCAAAAATGCATTTCTTGCGATATATGCTGAAGCGATATATTGTGCAGCCCTGGTCAGTAAAGTATCATTTTTGTCGCTAATTTGAATAATGAAAAACAAACTCTGACATCAACCCCCTAGCCATACATTTGTGGAAATTGACCCCTTTTGTAGTCCCGGGAATCGCACTCTATGATGAGTACCTGTTGGGACGTCTCTCCAGGTGGTGATCAGCTTGGGTTTGCTCTTACTGAGCACAGGACCGACCTCAGAAGCCCAGGTGTCCCCAGTGCTGCAAGCCAGAGCTCCCAATAACGACAAGCACATCCACGAAGCGGAGTATTGCTTCGCGAAGTCTATGGCCATTTCCCCAGGACCGGCCTCAATCATGTAGAGCAGAGCCAATTCTGTAGGAACTCCTCCGTTGCAGAACACCTGCAACCAGTTCCTCTGGCCACCTGCACACAACATTGCATATTACAGCCATTATATATTTAAAGGTGTCAGCATGCACTGCACTGTGAAAACATTCTTGCTGCCTAGATTGTCTTGTTGTTGAATCAATCAAACTGAGTAATAATATAGGGTCAAACGTTAATGTAATGTGACATACAATTCAAGGTTAAAGGAGCCCTATAAGGAATACCTAGGCATAATAAGAGTTCAGTACATGGAAACGGGAATACCGTGAACCTCAAATGACATTGTTTTTATTCTCGTGTAAATGACACGAATGTAAAACCTAAATGAACAATCAGAACACAAAGCAGACTGTTGCGTGACCCATGGGGCACACCCTCATTATTTGCATGTACTTTAGGTTTGACGAGCAGCTGCGTCATAAAATCACTAGGTAAATCTGACTAGACTGATATGTTGCTATGGGGTCATTAATATGCACGCCTCAGGCTGTGTTTGATAAGCCACAATGTTTCCTAGTGAGACAACAAAGATGATTTTTCCCCCTCAGTTTTATTTAACTTTGTATGTGGGCCTTTTATTTTGAAAACAGGTGACACGGCAACTCTTTGTATGGGAGTCGGTTGCTCTAACAAGGAGGCTAAAGATCATGGCCTCTAGCGTCTGTCGCTAGAGCACCTTTTGAGGTCAGAGTAGTGAGATTTACCTGCATGGCATTTCGCTAGCTGGCCTCCATTACACTTACTCTCCTAAACCTCACTACCATCCCGGACGAGCCCCCACGTGTAACCTACTAGTCCTATTGTACCCATCTCGTTCTGAGCTGAGATCGAACTGGCGATTTTTTTTTTGTATGGGAGTCGGTTGCTCTGACAAGGAGGCTAAAGACCATGGCCTCTAGCTTCTGTCGCTAGAGCACCTTTAGAGGTCAGAGGAATGAGGTTTACATGAATAGCACTTCACTAGCTGACCTCTGTTACACTTACCCTCCTATACCTTACTCTTATCCCGGACGAGCCCCCAACGTGTAACCTACTGGTCGTACTGTACTCATATTGTTCTGAGCTGGGATCGAACTAGCGATTCTTTGTATCGGAATCGGTTGCTCTAACAAGGAGGCTAAAGACCATGGCCTCTAGCGTCTGTCGCTAAAGAACCTTTAGAGATCAGAGAAGTTAGGTTTCCCTGCATAGCATTTCGCTAGCTGGCCTCCTTTACACTTACCCTCCTAAACCTCATTCCCATCCCGGACGAGCCCCCGCGTGTAACCTACCCTTCCTACTGTATCCATCTTGTTTTGAGCAGGCATCGAACTGTTGATTTTTTGTATTGGAGTCAGTTGCTCTAACAAAGAGGCTCAAGACCATGGCCTCTAGCATCTGTCTGTAGAGCATCTTTAGAGGTCAGAGGAGTGAGGTTTACCTGCACAGCACACACTAGCTGGCCTCTGTTCTACTTACCCCCCCTAAACCTCACTTCCGTCCCGGACAAGCCCCCACATGTAACCTACCCTTCCTACTGTACCCATCTTGTTTTGAGCAGGGATCGAACTGGCGATTTTTGGTATGGAAGTTGGTTGCTCTAACAAGGAGGCTGAAGACCATGGCCAATAGCGTCTGTCTCGAGTACACCTTTAGAGGTCAGAGGAGTGAGGTTTACCTGCATAACGGAGGTTATCTAGCAAAGTGCTAAGGCTGATTTATACTTCTGCTTAAAGCGCACACGTATGGTACAGCGCAGCCTACGCGTGGACACTTAGCCCTCGCCGTGACCTTCGGTGTCACCAGGGCCGGAGCAAGCTGAAGTGCCCTTCTAGGCAAAGGACGGTCATGCCGCCCATAAACGGGGGTGGAAGGGGGGGCGCTCTCTCTATTCTGCCTCTATACGCGGATATAACTGAGGGCACGGGTGCTGAGGGTAGTGTCGCGGACGCCGCTCTCTCTATTCTGCCGCCCTAGACACGGATATATCTGAGGGCACAGGTGGTGAGGGTAGTTTCGGGGATGCCGCCTAGGTCGCCTCTATGGACGCGCCGGCCCTGGGTGTCACTGACGCACACCTCTCAAAAAATACGTGGCGAAAACTCTGTGATTGGTCAGCTTGGTACAGCTGACGAGTGTGGGCAGGACCAAGAGCCACGCGAGTCCGTTGGAGCAAGTGTTTACAAGTGTCAAGTCCCGTGAAGAATCTCCGGATGGAAAGTTTTGTTTTGTGTTTACCTCATGATTAAAGTTGTTGCAAGTCTGCCGGTTCCTGCCTCAAAATGAGCGAGTTTGAACCACTTGTACATTAAGGAAGCGTTCAGAAAAAAAAACAAAACACCAGAAAGGAAACTCGACACAGAGGAACATTAACACCTCACTGCCAACTAGCACTTTGGACGTTTTATTGTAGAGCAACAGAAACAGCGCGCAGAAGTATTAATGCGCGTTGCATGCGCCGTGGGTCATGCAGATCACTTGATGCAGAAGTAGACTTACTCTTCTAAACCTCACTCCCATCCCGGACATACACCCACGTTTAACCTACCAGCCCTACTTTACCCATCTTGTTTTGAGCAGGGATTGAACTGCGGATTCTTTGTATGGGAGTCGGTTGCTCTAACAAGCAGGCTAACAACCATGGCCTCTAGCGAGATCTGAGGAGATCTGAGGAATGAGGTTTACCTTTAAAGCCCTTCGCTAGCTTGGCCTCGGCTACACTTACCCCCCTATACCTGACTCCCATCCCGGACGAGCCCCCACAAGTACCTAAAACAAATGAACCGAAGCCTAATTTACCTATAAAAATTAAGTTAAAGCAACACAACATTTGTTGTCGTGACATTACTGACAGTGTGTGCATGCCGATGTGAACGTCTGCGGAGATTTAGAAAATTCAATTTCAGAAAAGCTAGGATAAGGATTACATTGAACAGACACACAAACAATCATTAAAAATACTTCCTTTTGAATTTACAGTGAAAACAAGAGCTGTAAAAGCTAAGAAATGTTCGTGATGCTAAAATTATCATGTAATTATCAGACATTTGACAATTGTTGTTGTTAATTATATGAAGTATATAAGCCTGCCATCCATACATTGAAAGAAAATCAATTTATTGATGTCAAATTTGGGCAATTGTGTCGAAAATCAATGTAGCTGTGGTTCTAAACAAACTACTTTTCCCAGGTGACATGGTAAATTAAATAAAGAGTTGGCAAAAGCACTTACAAGGATCCATTCAGATTGATAAAATGACAAAATACTAATAAAAAATAATAAAATATGTGCTGATAAATAGCTTGGGCTGCTCTAAAAACAATCACAGAATACATACAAGAAAGATTGTGCTTTGTTCGCTCCAGCCAGACCCGCAGATGGGATGAATGGATTCAAAAATGGTAAAAACCAACCGCTTAGCTCTAGGGGTGTCATAAAAATTGCCAATTTTTATTATTTGAATTTATTGTTCCTGCTTGTGTTTTCTGTACTTGTTTAATGAGCGAAACCACATGAATAATAATAGAAATAAATTGATTTGGCGATTCAAATAAGAACGAAACCCTAAAAATGCGAATTAAAGATTGTGTAGCTGGCAGCAGGCATAAACAAACCGCCCCCAACACACTCACCTTCTTTATATTCCGGGTCGATCTTTTTTTTGATCTCCCCCTTCCACCTGGTTAGTTTGGTGGACGTGATGAAAAAGGTGAGCAAAACTGCAAAAAAGCTCATGTTGGCCATAGTAAGAACAAAGCCAACCAGCATCGCTGCAAGAAAAGACGGAGATTAGCTGATTTGCATTTGTTAACAATCATCTACTGTGCATTATTACAGTACGTAATGTTCAATCTCACGCAATGGCAATATATTTCTGTCCTGAATTGTTAACCTTCACTGCTTATTTGTAGTTTTTCCAAACTTAATATTAATTTCAAGCACTTTAAAATCACGTATGTATTAGTGTGTTACGTATATATAGCAAGCCTGTACGAATAAATTTGAATATATAGTGTTTCAAATAGGGCTGCACAATATATCGTTTCAGCAATGTGTGCTTTCGCAATAGTCACATCGCAGATTCTGCAATGTGGAGTTGGGATTATTTTTGTTGATCAGCTATGAAGGATGTGCAGTGTTTACATTTTCAATGTCGCAGTTCTAAGAAATATATGTGCTGTTAATAAAAAAAAAAAACTTTTTCATGCATTTTCCCCTCTTTATTTACAAATATCGTGATATATTGTGGAGGGTTTTCTTGTGATATATCGCTGATATCGTGATCTATCATTATCGAGGACAAAATATCATGATAGTATCGTATCGCATTACCGTACCTGAAAGTCTGACAACTAATTTCACTTTTATTTTTGCGCTATCTTATTTATTTATTCTTGCAATTTCTTTGATTCACTCCTCTATACAAGATTATCACAATCTAAGTGAATGATTTAATTCCATATAAAGCTATTCAAGTCGTCGGCCGAAATTATATTCATATCGCAATATAAATCGGAGCAAAATAATCGCAAAATAAAATAAATGATCGCAATGTCAGATTTTTCCAATATCGTGCAGCCCTAGTTTCAAATATTTAAAGACTATTATATATTTTAAAAATATATAAAGTTTATTATTAGCGCTGTCAAAAGATTAATCGTGATTAACTGCATCCAAAATAAAAGCTTGTATTTACATAACATAATATAAATAAATATACACACACACACAAAATATATATGTATATATTTGAGAAAATATTGTATTTATATTTATTTTATAATATTATAATTATTCATAATAATTAAATAATGATTATTAAATTATAAATTTTTATTATAATATATTTATTTATCCAATATAAATTAGATATGCATAAATATGTAAATATTTTGGTTTTCTAT